AACTCTTGTTTTCATTGCCTACCGGTCGGGACTGGGGGTTCGACGCGTTGTGCTGTAGAGTTGAAGGGTTTAGGGCTCAAGGGGTTTAGGGGTTTAGGGGTTTAGGGCTTTGGGTTCAGGTACTAAGGCTTTGGGTTGAGGGTTTAGGGCTGCGTCTCAGCCTCCCTACTTGGAGGCTCCTGGGTAGGTAGGACGGTAGACTTGATTGCAGCTACCGCAACCGAGAGGCAACACGACCTTGCTGGAGGTGGCCCGGGCCAACTTTATCGATCTGCTCTAGGGTCAAATTAAGGTGCGAGGTCTTGACCATCATAGGTGAAAGAACGGTTTAGGGTTTAGGGCCTACCTTAAGAACCCAAAACCCACTTTTTGTGGGTTCTTATTATAAACCCTAATATGGGATTTATAGGGACCCTACAAAAAAGTAGGTTTCGGGTTCTTAAGGTAGGGTTTAGGGTTTAGGGTTGGGTGGCAAAGCTACCAACAATCAAGCCGTCAGCTGCAGATGCGTGGGGCCACACACGGCCGCTGAGGGCTGAGGTACGAAGCAGGAACCTGAACCGTGCATATCGATGAGGGTTTAGGGTTTGGGGTTTAGGGATTAGGGTTTAGGGATTAGGGTTTAGGGTTTAGGGTTCGGGCCGTGATTGTAGAGGGGAGAAGCGGTGACGCGCGTCCCTAAGGGACACGCCATAGTATCATCGTCCGGCGTCTGAACAATAATTTTGCTCCTAGGCTCCCTCATATTTCTCACTATACCTTACTGTGATTCTCCGTGAGCTCTGAACCAAAAGCCTCTAAACCTTGCGCTCTAGTCCCTTCAACCTCAGAACAAGTATAGGAATTACTATACTCTGCAGTCCCTATATCTAAACACTAAACCCCTAAACCCTAAACCCTAAACCCTAAACCCTAAACTTAAACCTCTAGATAAAATTTACCATAGAACCCCCGGGCCCCTCTTGACTATAGTTACCATAGAACCCCTTGGTCGACTCCTCCCGAAAACTTTCGTAGCAGGCACCCTAAACCCTAAACCCAACACCCAAAACCCCAAACCCAAGACCCTAAACCCCTAAACCCTAGACCCTAAGCCCTAGACCCTAAACCCTATAAACCCAAAACCCTAGACCCTGAACCCTAAACCCCTAAACCCCTAAACCCTTGAAGCCCTAGGCCAGAAGCTGGGAAGCCCGGCGTGAAGGCCAAGAACAGCAGGAAGAGGCCCGGTCCGAGCCGTTGCACCTGGGCTTGGGGCTTAAGGGGCTTAGGGTTTAGGGGTTTAGGGTTTAGGGTTTAGGGGTTTAGGGTTTAGGGTTTAGGGGTTTAGGGTTTAGGGCCTGATTCAGCAGGCTTAAGGGGCTTCAGGGTTTAGGGATGGTTTAAGGTTTAGGGTTTAGGGTTTAGGGATAGGGTTCAGGAGGGTTGAGGACCTTAGTGGTTTTTGGGTTGTTAGGGGTTTTGGGGTTTGGGGGTTTAGGCTTAAGGGGCTTTGGGTTTAGGGATGTTTGGGGTTTTCTAAGGGCTTTAGGAGAGACCCTTACTAGGGACCCTTGTAGGCGAATATGGAGACTACCCGGCTATATAAGGTGTAAAAAAGGCTAATATAAGGACTATACAATGGCTATTTAAAGTAATGGGATTAAGGGTCCCTATTAGGGATCCCTCCTAAAGTCTTTAGAGGTTTAGGAGGGTTAAGGACCTTAGTGGTTTCTGGTATTTAAAGAAACTATAGTCAGTTTCGGGTATACTTCGCGAGGCGCAGCCTCCGGCCACAGAAGCCCTGAGCCGTACAACCCCGATACTCTGGAAGCCCTCAAATCGTTTCGGGTTCAGGGTTCCACCTGAAGAACCTCCGTTTTAGGCTTACCCATTAGGATTTCCTTATATAAGTCCTTAAAAAGGTAGGTTCTTTGGGGTCTAGGTAGACCCTAAACCCCTAACCCGGGCTCAGGGCCTCGGGTATCCGAGCTTTAATATGCCTGGACCTCAGGTCCTTCTCTAATCACGAGCTGCATGGATGGATCCCGTGTATCCTAAACCCTGAACCCCCAAACCCTGAACCCCTAAACCCTAAACCCTAAACCCCTAAACCCCTAAACGCTAAACAACCCTAAGCCCCTAAACCCTAAACCCTAAACCCTAAACCCTCAACCCCTAAACCCTCAACCCCTAAACCCAAAAGAAATCCCCCTCCGAGGGATGGTTGGAAAGTCTGCTGCGAAGTTTCTTGGTGCATCCAAAGCCTCGCATGCCACGCGTGATGTGTCAATCTGGAGCCGTCCTTTGTTGCAGTGTAGGCCGGGCTTACTGCTGAAAATCATGTCTTGGCGTTCTTCTGGTTGGCTCTTTAGACTTTAACTTTTTGGGTTTCTATATGAACTATAATAAGTAGGCTAAAAGTTTAACTTTTAGGAGGGGTTCAGAAGTAAGCCAAGATGTGATGATGGTATATGATGGTCGGGTTTCGGGGTTTCGGGGTTTAGGGTTTAGGGTTTAGGGGTTTAGGGGTTTAGGGGTTTCGGGTTTAGGGGTTTAGGGTTTCGGGGCTTAGGGTTTAGGGTGATGGCGATGGCCAGCACCATCCGCACGCCACGCCCCAACCGGAAACTCCATCCCCCAAACCGCTCCAGAAGTTTGCTTGTCTACTGGCCCAGGTCATGAGATGCATGTTTGGGGGTTTCGGTTTATTATAGTAGACAGCTTAGGCTAAAAGGGTCTATGCGTGTGAATTATTCTGAGAGGGACTTGTGCCCCACAAGACTTCGTGTTTCCGTGTTCGTTCGACCAAGGATGCTTGGCCTGAGGTGGGTGTTGATAACGTTCGTGGCTTCGCGCGCTCGCCATGGCCAAAGAGGAGCCGCACGAGCCGGCAGCGCCGATCGAAAATCAGAAGCGCCCGGACATCTCCCCTCGATCTTTCCAGTCGCGATTAGCAGAGTGGAGCGAGCAATGTCTTAGATTTCAATCCTCTGGCGAGACGTGGGTACCCACGAAGCCCTGCTGTCCGGCGAGCCCCTTTCTGGGGTTAGAAGCTTGTCTCTGGCAAGGCTGCAAGAAGCACGAGCCGACGGCATGTGTACAACTCCTGAGCATGGAGGAGTTGCTTGAGTTGTATGACTTCTTCCGCGAGAATCCCTCTTTTGAAGACCAACCGGAGGCCGCTTCTGGATCTGAGCCACAGCTCGACGTGCGCCCCTGGATGCGAGACCTCCCCGCTCCAGTTTGGGCCGAAGGCTTTCGACTCGAGAAAGGCATGCTGAAGCTCTCGGCAACCTCATGCGGCTCCGCTGCGCAGTGCCCACGAGGGCTCCTTCACTGAACCTGGCGGGAAGCATGCAGGCGCAGTGGTCGAACCACGACCGGGCGGCCAGGCTCCAAAAAGGCAAAGGGCTGGGCGCTGGCACGTGCAGCCCAGGGACACAGCCAGCAAGAAGAGAGGCGAGGAAGCCGAGGCCCAGAAGCTCAAGCGGAAGCCGGTCACTCCCAGAGCCAAAGCCCAGGAGCTGGCCAAGGAGTCGAAGCGGAAGAAAGCTCCCCTCTCCGCCGTGAGAGGCGTTGATTTCATCCGCAGAGACAGTATCTGGCGTGTGTACATGTACAACCCCTCCACCCAGAAACAGGTTTATGGGGGCTCTTTCAAGGTCCAGCGGGAAGCCGAGGCCAAGGCCCGAAAACTGGCCAAAGAGCTGGGGCTGCGAACCACGCGGAAGCTCGGGGGGATCCTCTGCAGCATCCTCTGGCACCGCGGAGGCTGGAGAGTCCGGTTCAGGATATCCGGAAGTAAAAAGCAAATAGAGAAGACTTTCAAACCCGCTGATTTATCAACCGATGAGGTGGAGAAGGCCCGGAAGAAGGCAGTGGCCTGGCGCAGGCAGCAAGAGAAGCAGCAGCTTAAGCAAGCCAGCAAGCGCTGACAGTATGGCGACGTGCGGATGTGCACGATGCGAGGCGAATGCAACAGATCTGGGCAAAACGGTGGTTTTCAGGTTTAGGAAGTACGGTTAAACCGTAGCAAGAACAAGTTATAGCTCTATCTTCCGGTTTGGCCTCTGACCGCAACACCTCGCAGCGAGAGAGCCTTAATCCTTGACACTATAAGCCCAAACCCTATACTAGCATGGTCTCAGACTGGTCTCAGACAGGGTCGAAATAGAGAGCTGTTTTGCTTCTTGCAAAAGAAGGAGACTTGGGTTCTGTTTTTGAGCTCAAGCTTGGGTGTTGGAATACCGTTTCATGAACTTACGCAGTTCATCAACGAAGAGATAGACATGGTCCTTTCAAACGCACACTTACCCGGCCGTCAGTGTCGACATGTGCCCAATCTTACCTTGCCTCCTGCCTGGCTTCCTGTGGAAAGATATGCGCATGCGGGCAGTTCGTGGACACCTTGTTAACAGACCCTCTGCAGCTGCAGTCATTATCGGGCATGTGTTTACAAAGGCGGGCAGACAGACAGAGACAGACAGACAGACAGACAGACGGACGGACGGACGGACGGACGGACGGACGGACAGACAGACAGACAGACAGACAAACATGTGTCGTGTACACACACACACACCAATTTTAAATGACTACATATGACTACAGAGTTTATCCGTCTTCAAACCTGTATTTGCATGGATGCCTGGAATGTTGCCCAAGGCCACGCCTTTAAACACTCTTGAAGTATTCGCAGGTATGTGCATGTACAGGGTTGCATAGTTTGGGGATGGGTATGTGGGTTGCAGATTCGCTTCGATCCTGCATATCTGGCACCTGCAAAGCCTGAAACAGGGCTCCCAAGGTTCCAACAAAACCTGAACTTGGCACCCTAAACCCTAAACCCTAAACCCTAAACCCTAAACCGTGCTGTTCCACTCCCACAAGCACGTCCTAAACCCCAAAGCAGGTCTTTGACTGGGGAGACGACGCTCCGAAACCACAGCGGAAGTCGCGGTCGCCCCAACGCAACCACCCCAGCTTGGGGCGAGAAGGGTTTAGGGTTTAGGGTTTCGGGTTTAGGGAGGTATATTCGGATGTCAGACAGTTTTGTCGTTGTGTGGCTCTGAATTGCTTGAGTTTTCTATCAAAGCACAGCTGCTCAGATGCCAAAAGGTTTAGTCGTTGCGCTGCTGTGAGTAACTTGGTCTAGTTCAAGACAAACCCTGTTCGGATGTCGGAGGGTCTAGTTAGTGCGTTGCTTTGTTCTGTTTAGGTCGCTAGCAGGAGAAAGCTGTTCACATGTCAGAAGGTTTCTTGTTTAGGTTCAAGGTTTGTCGAGTAGCTTTCATGCGGGTGTTGCTTTGGTGAGTTTCGATGGCTGCGCGGTATCCTCTCAGCTAAACCCCGAATGCCTGCATGGTGTCTAGGTAGCCTCGTAGGATCGTAGTGATGAAGTTCATTGTCCCTACACATTCCTGTTTGTTACTGTTTGTTGGGTGTTCTGATCATTGTCTATCACATGCAATCGAGCATTGAAGTTACGTTGCCGTAATGACGAAGCCGGCACCCTGAGTTTGCGGAGTTCGACCGCGCTTTTACAGAAATCCATTATAAGTCGAAGCGCCGCACCCAAACTGTTTCCCCTAAATGCAGGAGCTCTTGCATGCCTGTAGGTACATATGCTCTCATCGTTCCCGAAATTGTCGGGCAAACCCTTCCCACGCGTGATACTTGCGATGTTTCCGCAGGGACTCGTCGCCTTGGGTCGGTTCAGAGTTTCGGGTGTTGGTTGTACGGTTCGGGAGTTTCAGAACCTAAGTGGGGGGCCCTAAAGTAGTTGAAGCCTGACAAGAAGAGCACCTCCACTTGGATAAACCCCTAAACCCCAAACCCAAACCTTAAATACCCTAAGCCCTAAACCCTGAGCTCGAAATCCTAAACCTGAACCCTGTCCTGCAACCCGAAACCGATCCCTGCTGCGAAGTTAGTATTAGTATTAGTAATAGTATGTGTTATCCGAACTCCTAACCTCAAAGCCTTAAGCCCTAATCCCTCAACCCTAAACCCTAGACCCTAAACCCTAAATCCTAAACCCTAAACCCTAAACCCTAAACCTGCCCCGCACGGCTTTTGGTTTCAGAGACTCTTGGGCTCTCGAAACCTCGGCTCGCACGAGGCGTCAGCTTCAAGACCGAGCAGGCAGGTTTCGGGTTTAGGGCGGTTTTAGGGTTTAGGTTTAGGGCTTCAGGGATTTAGAAGGTGTAGGGTTTAGGGCTTTTTTAGGGTTTAGGTTTAGGGATTCGGGGAGCTTCAGGGATTTTGAAGGTTTAGGGTTTAGGGCTTGTTTGGGGTTTAGGTTTTTTGATTTAGGGAGCTTTAGGGATTTAGAAGGTTTAGGGTTTAGGGCTTGTTTAGGGTTTAGGTTTTTGATTTAGAAAGCTTTAGCAGTTTAGAAGGTTTCCGAGTTTAGGGCTTTGTTAGGGTTTAGGTCTTTTGATTTAGGGAGCTTTAGGGATTTAGAAGGTTTCGAGTTTAAGGCTTTTTTAGGGTTTAGGGTTTAGGGGGTTTAGGGTTTAGGGTTTGGGGCTTTCGGGATTTAGAGGGTTGAGGGTTTAGGGATTTAGGGATTTAGAGGTTTAGGGTTTAGGGCTTCAGTGATTGGGTTTAGGACCAGGATGATTATAGGGCTTGTTAAATGAGGGCTGAGTGTTGGGCAAAGGGGTTGGAGTTAGGGCCTAGGGGTTTGGGGGCACTGCCGCTTGGGTTGGGGTTTTTCTAAACCCGGAACTTAACAGCAAAGCCTTATGCGAAGTTGTTGGACAACGGAGTCCAACGCAGTAGTCCAGTGAGCAGCGGTTAATGTCGAAAGTTTTGAGTGTAAGGCATGATCCAAATCCTGTAGCTTCCTTCAGGAGGTGGGCTCTGGGTGTAGGGCCTTTTAGTGTTTAGGGCTCTATGTCCCTTCAGTGAAGCTGCGCCAGTTTAGAGGGCTGAGAGGCCACTGGCTTAAGGCTCTGGGAGACTCATTTCATGAACCTCTCACTCTGCCTAAACCCTAAACCCTAAACCCTATGTTGTGATGACTGCCGTTGTTGCTGCTGCTTCTGTCGATGATGCTGTTGCAGCAGCTGCGGACTTTGTCGCTGAGCATGTTTAAACTGCGCAGCGTCGCTTCGGCACGTAAACCGACCGCGAAAATTTCAATCCATCGCGCGACTCGTTCCTCTGTCAACTTAACTTCCCAGCTCCCTGCTCAAAACTTGTTGCACCGCTAAGATGAGCCGACAAAGCCGAGCTGCTCTCGATTGATGGTTTTGGGCCAGTTTCGGGTTAGTTGATGTGGCGAGGATGAAAAGTCATAGGTATCCGTCGAGACGAGACAGTAGCGAGTGATGTGATGGTTCGTGTGGCTTCCAGCCATTTCGCGTCAGCATCCGCTTTGTTGTCGACCCTTGATCAGCACTTCCCATTACCCACATCTGACCGAACATTTGCCGCACTCCTCTGCACACATCCAGAACGGTGTTTCCGTTCTTTCCCCTTTGGCTTGTGGCACATTGCACTTGATCGGGGGTTGCTTCGGAAGGCTGAACATCTGACGCAACTGCCCTACTCCAAGAAGCGACGCCAAGTTTCTGACTCTATATCGAACTGCACAGCTTCTGCCGAGATTTGACCTTGCATGGGAGATGTGTTGAGGAACAACGAGCAATGGCCTCAGCAGGCAAACACAATACCCGTGCTTCTTGACCAACTTCCAGATCTGAAGCGGTCGGCGCATGAGCTGCGATGCCCGCCCTCCCACCCAAATTACAAACCTTGAACGGGTTTAGGGTTGTCTACCCCCCCAACCCCCCNNCTATCAAGGGGGGCTTATATGGTTTGAAGTAAAGTTTCCGCAACTTTGGAACCGACAAACGGCTTTTGTCGACCCCTCTGCCCGTCTATCAAACGGTGATAATATGATTTGGCGGGAGTAGTCGTCTAGCCGAACGCTAGAAAGGGTAACATTTCTCGTAACGAGACCAAAATGTAGCTTCGGGACAGCAATAGGTTTATGCGGTGGGGCGGCCCTTCGGCCGTGTTGCATTTTTTCCGCACTGGCCCTCCGCAGGTCCTCCTTCTTTGCATTTCCCATGAGGAAACCCAAATGTAGCGTCTGGATAGCAAAAGGTTTATGCGGTGGGGCGGCCCTACGGCCGTTTTGCAAATTGTCCTTACTGG